CACCCCCCCCTTCCCTATGCACAAAATCAACAATGGTTAGCTTACCTTTTAGTGACGTGATCTCTTGGGAGGACGTTCGTTAGAGGCGGAAGAGGAACTCCCGCCGCCGGAGTTGGGGTTGTACCGTTTGACGGGGGAAGCAGATGTTGAAGAAGGCGAAGACTTGTCGTGCATCTGGACCCGGACGGACTCCATGAAGACAGTCCGCCGCTTGACAAAGTAAGGGCGACAGACGTGTCTGTCGGGGTCGCGAGACTCGCTTGAGGTGTCGAAGTGTTCTAATTTAGATCTACCTTCGCAGGACTTGCACTGCGTGGATTTGGACGGTACGTAAGAGTCACAGCACATGTCCGGGTCCAAATGGGCGTACCTAACCACGGCCCGTTTTTAGTCTTTCGATTCAGTCACAATATACTTTGCGACTATGGCATCACTTTGAAATTTGACGTCACAAACAAAATTCTTCGCCGTTGCAATGTCGCGCGGATTAATCTTGGTTATCCACCGGCCGCACCCAGCGTGGGGGCAGCGGTTCGAGTACTGCGACATAATGGGAGAGCCGTCTCCCTCCCGGTCCATGGTCGTAAGAAACGACAGACATTTGCCGGCAATTTTTTATTGTACCGGGACAGAGCTTTTAGGAGTTTAATTACGCGGGCGAAGCCCGCCAATAAACGGTGAAACCCATTCATCTGCGAGCCAAACGCTTTCAAAATGTTGCACCTCACTCAATGCATCGATGAAGGAAAGGCGACACCAGAGCAGAGGTGCCGTCACTGGGGCAGCAAAAGAATCACCGTTCAGATATTCTGCCATGCGGGTTGTCAACAAACCGACGCGTCGGGATGGATGGATGATTGATGGCGATTGCTTTGGGTGGGGTGTTCACTCCAATAAAGAACCTACCGATAGATGGAGTCAAGAGAGCGAAAAAAACAACGCGGAGCTGCCAGAACATCATCATCACGTTCCTTGAGGTGTTCTGGCGAGAGGACGGGCGCGTAGATGATATAAAAGCATGCATGGATCCCTGGGTGTGGGTACTACTACTGCTGTGCTGCAGTAGCTCAACAAAACTATTCGCGTGTGTGTGCGTGATGCGTGCGTGTGTGTTTGTAGCTCTTCTTCTAGCGGGTGCTGCTGCTGCTGTTGACATTGCGAAACTTCGTGCACACAGAAACCAGAGTGGTCTCTGCTGCTGTTGGCGTCTGGTATGCGGCAGTTGCAGCGCCCAGGGTCCCGCCTGATGTGTGTCGGTCTCTGAACTGGTTGGTTCGAATGAATGCGGTGCGCCCAAAAGAAAAAACGGCGTAATTGCCAAACTTACTCGAAAATAGACAAGACGCCAAGTAGGCGCCAAGTTAAATGGAGACAGCTGATTGGCGGACGCCAAGTTAAATCTGTCCCGGTGGCTTTTTTTGCTGCCGACATTTGAAGGCTTGAGCCATTTCTTCTGCAAAATGAAATGATGCAAAGCAGGCAGTCGGGGGAAATATGAAGGGTTTATTTGGTATATATGCGTTCATTGTGCGTTGTTAACGTGATCCTTTGTTCGAATTGGGTACGCTGCGGCGCGCTCGACGAACGTTGCCTTTTGCAGCTCATCGGGTAGGGTACCGACCCAAAACCCGTTCGCCAATGCTGCATCAGGTAATTTGTTCTTCGCCAACGACCGGTAGCACTCGTCGCATACATGTATCTTGCATGGTTCCTCTGACTCGATACCGTACTTACTTAGAACGAGGTTGTCTAGGTCCCGCGCCGTGTCGCCTGCATAGCCGCGAAAAGCTGCCATTACCCTGTCCTGCTTGCGAAGGGCTTCGTCCGCCCTTAAAAGTTGTTAGCTGGGAATCTCACTTGCTGATAACACGTGATGACGTCGTACCAAAGCCAGCCTATCGCACACGGCACAGGGAGACCTGTTAATAACAACTTAATGTAATTTTTTGTATGCGCTCGATCTCAACCGAGTGTATGTGTTAATGAATTGGAAATGGCACGTTCTAGCCGCCCGCCCTATTTGAGGCCGGGCAGTCATCTTTCTACATAATAATAGTTAGTTCAGTCGAACTGCTGACACTCACCGCTTGCTACCCGCAAACATATGGTCACAGAAGTCCTGCAGTCCTTGCGGAAGAGTTTCCGCGTGAAGAGGAGTCACCAAATTTACGCTATCTCTGCACGTTTCTTGACCTTCTGTTGTCTCAATCGCCGCTGTCGGGATCTCCCTGTTGAAAATAATCCTGTCCGCTTCATCACTGCCAGAACTACCGTCCAGGTCATCATCATCGACAACCATATGGTCGCATCTTTTCGCCGTCTTTCGAACCTGAACAATCGACGTGCATTGTTTCCATTGCTGAATGACTGTTGTTGTGTACGACGTACAATCTACAGACAACAACAGTTCCCCGGTCGTCTGATGGTAACAACAACAGCCAGCGCCGGCTAACTAAGTCGATCGTCGCCTTCGTCCTTGTAATATAATACTCCTTCCTGTGTTAGTTTGTTATTGTGATGAAATATGCTCCATACCATGGCTACCGCACGTACACGCTATCGACCTATGTTGCGCTTCCCACTACTACTGTAGATCATCTGCTTGCTGTTTGTATGCATGTGGACTCAATGATGTATGCCGGTGTTACACGACGATGCCGTCGTCGGGTGAGTCTACATCTTACAGTAGTGCTTTTACTCTACCGCTATATGTATGCCCTTGCTTGTGACGATCATCGGTGTTCTATGCATACGGCCTACAGTAGTCTATGCGTCTCACGACTTACCTCTGTCTTTCCCGAGCCCTCCTGTCCTCCAAAGTTACACGACGCTGTCGTCGTCTGGTGGGTCGTCTGCGCAACATCGTACACTCTCTCAATTTGTTCTACTGCTGTATCCATCCAGTCAGTATCCATCCAGTCAGTGCTTTATCTATGACACATGTATGTCGACCAGTGCGCCGACTTATTGCTATAGTCTATGTCGTCTTCTTGCCGTGGGTGTGCGTTGACGATGCTGTTGCATGTGTGGCTTGCAGGCAGCAGCAGCAGTCAATCCGTTGACCATTCATGGTTGATGTGGTTGAAGGAAGTTATTTATTTTTGGTTCCACTGCTGTCGATGTTGCGTTTCGTGTGTGCATACGAACTCGTACGACGTCGTGCGCTCGTGCGCCTGCTGTGTGTGCGATGAATGATGCATGATGGTCACGGAGTGCAGATTTCCTCATACGCTAGGCGGCAGAAAACGGCCTCATTCTTGGTGTGAGTGAGTGTCGACCAGCGCACGTTGTTAGCAGGTGCTCTGTATGACCCAGCAGCGATGTACGTTTGTTAAGCGGCCAACGGTACTGGCGTCGTTGAGTATGGACGTCGTTTGTGTCCGGGTTTTCAACCGCGTCCTATCATAGTAGCATGTCTGTCGCCTTTGACTTGATTTCGAAGCGAAACGAAGGGAGTTGAGCCTGGACGAGGAGGCGTGACAAGGATGGAGCCAGTTTTGGACCTTGCACGTGGGTCGGCCCACAGGACCCAGTTTTGATTGAAACTGGGAACAACTCGTTCCCAGGTTGCCCTACCCAGTCGCTGAGCCCTCTGCTGCTGCTTATGCTCTGCTGCTGTGTGACACTGCTGTCGAGCAGCACGCGTTCGAGACCGCCCACCGTAAACATGTCTGACGACGTTTCCCAAGCTGATCAACTAGCAAGTTGGTGATGTGATCATAGCCTCCAAGAAGCGGAGCTGAGGCACGAGATGACATGGCTCACAGCGGAGCAGGCTCGATTGCCTCGATTGGGATGATCGCAGCTTTGGGCCACCGGCGCGCCCGGGTGCAAGGGCTGCGGCACAAGGTGAGAACTTTGGCAGCCTGGGGGAAGCCTGCTGCATACTGCCTGGGGGAAGCCTGCTGCATACTGCGTGTGTCGACATATAGGCTCGCCGCAGGCAGTCACGCGCACAGATAAAACACAGCGCAGATGTCGCGCACGTATTTTCGTATTTGAACATGCTGTCACAGCAGTATCTACAGTCACGTGGGCAATTTCAGAAGAAATATCAAGGAACAGAGGACCCACGTGACTCGAGACTCGAGACAGCAGTCCCATTGAGATGCGGTAGCGGCTACGGTTTTACAGAGGGTCGTCACAAAATCCTTCTCGTAATTGCCGGATGTGTCTTGTGCCGTGTTAGCTTGAATCATGGACATGATTTACAGCAGTATATGCATTCGGAAGACTCCGGAAAAATATGCTGTCGTTTCAACCACCTGCCGAAAAGAGTTTGTGGAAGGCACATCATTCATGTTACATCACGTCAGTTAAGCGTTCTCACCAGTTCCAATCTGTTTTGGCGAGCAGTGTACCCACCGCAAGTACCGTTTACGGTAGGTGACACAAAACACGACACCTGGACCGATCTTCAAAATGACAGCCCGGGGGTAGCCCCCGGCCTCATCTGAAGCCCTTTTTTTTTGGGCCAGGGAGGGTATGTCTATCCATCTATGTGGGGGTCGAGGATGATGTCATTGTTGTTCGCGGTGATGAAGAAGAAGTTGAACGAAGGAAAGAAGCAACATTTTCCCTCGTTCTTGACTTGGCGTTGGCATGGGTATCGAGTCGGAAAAACGACATGTGGCCGTCGGCCGTGACCATGGTAGCCATTAGCGTCAAATGAGGATCGGGAAGGCTGCGCTTTGCCGGGTAGACGCGGAAGCGCGAACCACAGTTATTTCTCCGGTCGTCAAGTAAGTACGGGAGAGAATGACGGAGGGCAGCCCCGATGGGTTATTAGTGTGAAAGCGAAGATGTGGTGGAATTTCTTTGTGATGGTCCCGGCGTATGTCTGCACCACGACGAATACCGCAACCCAACGGCAAACCGCAAAAGAAACCAGAATTCAGGCAGGGCCAGGCGCCAAGATGAGTCAGGCAGAGTGGACTAAGGTCCGCGGAGTCAAACACACGCGGGAAAATGAAGTCGAAATTGAAGTCGAAATAAAAGCGGTGAATAAAGGCAGTCCGACCAGATAATAAAATTAAACTTCGTGTAGTACACATGTACCAGGTAGTGAAGGACGACGAGGAGAATGAAGGCGCTAAAATATGTCGAGGTCGGGCAATCATAAGACGGACACAAGTCCCACCCAATAAAATGACATAAGTTGAGGAAGTGCTTGGCTCTCTTGTTCGCCCTCTGCTGACATATGTTTAGGGCGTTGGCGCGCGCAGAGGCGGTTTCGTTCGTACGCATTGCGGAACGACTTGCCCGCGCAGCTGCTAGCCCGGCCTGACGCGTACTGCCTCCGAGGAGTAACACGGATCCATCAGGGAGAGGATTGCCGCCGGAGTCCGTTCCGAACGCAAAGAAGTGGGTCGTTGCTGGGGTGGGCGCATCATTTCTTCGTCCCGGCAGGGCTTTGTGAGGAGGAGCTTTCCTCTTCATAACCGGAGTCGACGCGAACAAGAGAAGGATAGCCGTGAAGGCGACAAGCCGGGCGTACATGATCTCATCAGCTTGGGTGTTGTGTGTGCGACAAGCAGACGGGAAGTGCAGGCGTATGACCTGTACAGCGACGATGGTTGGCAGTCGAACTGCGTATCTATAGAAGTCCACAGTTGGCAGTTGGCAGTCGAATTGCCTACTGCTGTATCTACGCATCTACAGGAGTGCCATGGTTGGCAATTGGTTGCGTATTTATGCCGTACAAGATGTATCCATACTCAGTACCACAAAGTACTACAAGTGCAGGTAGACACGCCCTGACAAGAGATTCGATGCCACTGTATGCTGACTACACCGCTGTGTGTGGTCCTCAATCAGTCAGATTACTGTGGTCCTCAGTCAGTGTGGGAGACGAAAAATATATTTGTGCTACCTCACAACAGCAGCAGTAGACTAGTCGTGCAAGGTGGATGGTGCACTTCCTGATGAGGTTGATCTCTTGCGAGATGTGTGGCCTGTATGCTAGGGGGAAGAGGAGAACATGGGATGTGCCTATCTATGGGGTTCACGTAATTGATGAACATATATGCATGTTGAAATTGTGAGAACCAGACTACTGTGCATAGAGTAGATAGATGGTGACTGACGTGCTGACTGTCATCTACAATGAGCACAATCAGTCTGGAAGAGACAACAGAATATGCTAACTACTGACTGCGGTGAGTGGTCTACAGACTACTGTATATTGCTGTGGTCCACAGCAGTTAGTCTGGAAGGAGAAAAGAAAGTATCGTACACACATCCTCATGAGGTTACATTCTTCAGCAGTGTAGTGCTGGTGAGATGTGCGTAGCTTTCGAGCACTGTCTTTTGCCTTGCCTTGGTCAGTGGTGATCGGCGAAAGTTTGAGGCATGTTTCACTCATTGTTAAAAGGGCTGTGTCCTATGTCGTCGACTTTGTGCATGACTCTGTACCAACCGTGGACGTGCATCCTTCCCGTCGTGGGTACGGCGGTACTTTCGACCAGTGGGGGTAAAACTGGGGGTAATCATGAGGGAGGGGTGGTTCGGTTGTTCGCGTACGGGGGAGATCCACGAATGAGACATACAACAACGGACGCGTTCTCACAAGCTGACACAAGCATTGGCGCGAAACTCGCAGGAGGGGTTCATCGGGCCAGGAGGGACACCTCTTCCAACCCACACGAAAATCTGTCGTAGCAATCTCGCGAAACATCGACGGACGAATAACAACTTGCTTTTAGAGAAGAGACCGTAGATCGCCTACTCTAAAACCAAGTGAAATGCAGAGAGTGGGGTCACTTTTTGGAGGGGTCACTTTTTGGTGGGGTAACAAAAGTGGGGTCGTTTTCGAATAGGTTCTGAGAATAACGGCGACAGAAACTGAATCGTTATCGGGCTTCCGAAGTCGATTGCTCCGCAGCAAGTATGAAGAGTGCTGATGGCGAAAATGGCGGTGTTGGAACCGTAGCACGCTACTCGTATGCCCTCGTGGACTGCTGTACGCCGTCTACCTTGATGTGTGGCGCGCACGCGCTGTCTACCTTGATGTGTGATGCTTGCCTGGGAAGCCAATGGGATCAACTAGATCGGGAGACCTCCGAAAAATCCAATGGCAACTGTTGAAAGAGGTTCCAGAGGTTCTCCTCTCCACCCCAGATACTGGAATGTCCGGGCGCGCAGCCTGTTCTTGGGGTTGAGTAATTGTAGTGTTTGCAAGCCTGTTGCTTAGACCTGTACGTTTTTTTTTCTTCATTTTTCTATTTCTCCAACGCACGCGGAATTATCGATTCCGCTGTTTCTCCAGCGGGCATATCCAGACACGCCGGGGGGGGGCTTGCCAAGAAATCGACGTGACGAATGTTAACCAAACTGCTGTACAAATCCGTTGCCGGTTGGAATTTGCGTCACCAGTTGCATCTACTGTCAGGGGAGCATGCCCCTCACGGCGACTGTGCAAGTCGACTGTTGAAAGGGGAAGGAGACATTCGCTTGCTTCTTGTGCCCGACGCTGATCGGTCACGAGGCACCCGACTACGTATGCTCGACCGGAAGGGAGGAGGCAAGCCCTGGACGGAAAGCCCAGTGCCGTCTGCCTCAAAGGTGATGGCAGCAGGTTGGGTCGGCAAAGAGCAGCCGGAGGGCAATGGCGCAAGAGTTGAGCCGTACATCCGCGACTTGAAGGGAGACGGGACGGCTTAACACGTGTCATGAGGAAGTGAAAGTACGACAAGAGAACGGGATTGCTCGTGCACGTGCAGGTCTTCCACGAGGTGGACCGGATCGCGCGGAAGACGAACACTGCCTAGCACTTGAACAACAGTCCGGGGAGTCCTCCGTAAAAGTGAGTGCATATTGCATGCGTGCTGCAATTTTCAGGACCGCCCCGTTCATATGTGTCCCTATTTTTACAACTAACTGCTGTTGTCGATCTGATTGTACCGGGTTGTTTTCCTCCTTTTGATTTTTACAACTGTTGCTGTGCTCTTGCGCGTAGTGCTGAAGGTGTTTTTTTTGCTTCTTCTGTTGTTGTGCCCTACTGCTACCACCACTAGAGGGATTCCACATGGCGTTCGAATTTCGACATGAAGCGTATTATGACGTGAAATATTGACGTCTCGTGGAATTTCGGCATGAACGTAATTCCGCCGCCTTTTTGAAGTCGATCTTTGGTGGTGTTTTTTTTTCAGAATCGCGTCAAAACACGAAAGCGCGCGAAAGGATTGACGCTTCCCCCCTCATGTCGGGACACAGACACATTCCTCTACTAGCATCGCCGAACAGCAGCGTCATAAGCAGCGAACGCATCCACCTCGGCTACTGAGTTCTCCTACGTGGTCCTGTACGCGGCTTGGCGACATCTCCGCGACCTCGCGGCGGCCCGTTGACCGCCGTAGCCCGTTCGAAAGTTGACCACCGGTTGGTTGGGGAATTCTCTGGGCACCCCGCCCTCCAAGGGAGGACAGCAGTAGAGGCGTTAGGGAGGGCACACGTACTTGGCCGGCCACCGTAGGTGCATCTCGCCCACCCCGGGCTTGGGGTTGGCGCTGGGTCGTACCACACCGGGCAGTGGAAATGTCTTATGCGGAAGAAGAGGGCAGCGCTGCTGCTGCTGCGATTAGAGGCGCCCGCTACATGTCGCCTCAGCGCCACACGAGGGCACCCTGGCGGGACGAAGACGAGGGATACGCCCCGTCTCCTGGGAGAGGGCGCTACAGCCTGTCGACCCTCGCTGGGAGCCCGGACGCGCCGGTCGTC